AATATTGAATAAGTTTCTCGAGAAGATTGTATGCAAACCTAAAACTCCGGCATTAGTTCCGATAAGACATTTAAAAATGTAAAAAGGACTATTTCGGTAATTTTTACAATGATTCTAAAATGGAGTAGAAGTTTTTGCTTAGGTTTTTTTAGTTGATAAATTTTTATGCTGAAACATTGAATAGAAACGAAGGAATTATAAATACTATGAACTCATGATACACAGAGGACTAGGCAATTCATGTAATAGCGACGAAAAAACATACCTCTTTTCGACTGATGATCGTTCACCCTCGCTTTTCGCCCTGTCTAGACTCTGCTCCGTTTTCGGGCTAAAAAAAGCACAATGAAGCAGACTCCACATCGAAATGATTAGCATTGGTTGATTATCAGACTAAGATAGTAGGAGGCACAGTCCAGGATTCAGGTGGAAGATCCCTTTCCTTAGGACAGAGCTATTCAGGAAGGTCGCAAATCACCTGCTTCTCTCGGACTTTGAAGCAGGGTCAACCGTCGCGGTCGTGACTTTTCCAAAAATTTTGCGAGGTTGGAAAGGAGGTAAATATGAAGCGACAAATCCTTCAATTTTTACTACTTTCGTAGAACTTTTACCAAATTCGTCAAAAGAAGCCGTCTAAATGACAACTTTTTTGACGACATTTGTTCAGCCTTTTCCAACCTTAATCTCGCTCAGCTCCAAAATATGATCCCCCACTTTCCCGAAATCACAACTGCAACCGTCTTGTTTGAATACTGCGAACGGACGATTGACCCTGCTCTAGAGTGTGCTACAAGGCTGCTGTGGCTCTGCAAATGCCATTCAACTGCATCCATTTTTTCTCGTCGCAGAATGTTCCCGTGCGCGTCCTCATCGATTGTGCTCTCTCACCTGTACTCTCTCCTCCGTGCTCAATCTCTCATTGTCTTGACACAGCCGAATCGGACAATTTATTGAACCCCTAACTTTGGTGCTTTCGACACTTTTCCTTTTTTCCTCACTGCCGGTTCACTTCGCACCAAGGTTTAAATTTTGTGTGCAAGTACTACTTCATTTCGATCCTGGGGCGTGCCTTTGAATCTTAGGATTCATCAGAGCAGCTCTACGAGCTCAAAAGTGCCTCGACGGCGCCCACATTTTTAGCAATGACTTAGCATTCTACTGGATAACAAGAAGGATGTGATATCGAGAGTTCTTAGACGCACCTTTCAACGTGATATCCATGATACTGCACGAACTTCAGGATCTCAGTAGCTCGGAAACGATCCTTACGTCTCTCAAAGTCCGTCAGCAAATCCCACGGTACCAAGATGGTGGGGAGGAATCCGCCCTTTGTATTCAGGTCATTCCATACCTTCAAAGCAAAATAAATCACCACTTAAAAAATCTAAAATCTAGTTTCCTCATGAAAAAAGTTAGAACTTAAGCTTCTGGAATCGTACCTTTTTCGCCCAGATCAGATGCGAGTGCTCTGCCATTTTTTCACCAGCTGATACCATATCCTGCAATGTTTGGCAGTTTTATGAAAGCTTATGAGGGTAACCGTGTTATGATAGGAGGGAACAATAAAGAGGGTGTAGATTATCAATCTTTTTTTAATTTGCTTATTTATTTGTTTGGACCCCAAATAAAAGCACCTAAACATGGGGTAGGGAAGGTAAACACTATATCACATTGAATAAATAAAATTTGTATTAGCGATTGTATAGCTGTTTTAATAGCTATTTTTGTGAGGCGTCAAGGCTTCGGCTATCTACATCGCAGAGGAATAAACTAGTTGCCTATGTGACGAATTGCTTCGCCACCAAACTACAGAAGCGTTGAGATTTTTTGGTATGATTGATCCGTAGTTATGGACTTATCATAGTCGCAGAAACTCGGAGTCAGCTCCGCCCGATCCTCCTGTGGATGTAGCGAAGGCGAGCTTTCATATCATATATAGCTTTCATATATATTTTCACCATCACTCATTTCATGAGATTTATCGAGCAGACTACAAAAAGTCAAAGTATGTAAGTCGGCAAATTTACCTTTTCGAGTGTCATGCTAGAAAGGTCCACAGGTTTTGGAGCAAAGTTTTGGATACTGGTGCCGGAAGG